TATTTTGGCTGGCAGAGTACTACAGGAGGCCGTCCAGGCCAAAAAAGGGGGTGCGACAGAGGTGGGTTGCTGCCAGTGTTGTTGCTGGTTTGGCGCACAAAATATTTTGCACATAAAAAGGTTTGCGCATGTGCAAAACGCTAAAAAAAGTGGGGGGAATTACATTTCTGCAACGAAAATTGTTCTGCACATGTCAGAACTGGAAATAAAGATGGCGCCGCCGTAGGAGAACCTGTTTGGAGGGGGGGCGTGGCAGGCCTAGGTTGCTGGAACCGCCAAGTTACTACCAGTTCAGCAGAACCGGGCCAAACCGGTAGGAACCCACCTCTGAGGTGACCCTCCCGTGCCCTGTTTTGGCTGTCAGAGATACCGCGGGTCGTTCCTTTGCTATTTCCAGGCTGGCCCTGCAGACCAGATTTAACAACCCCTGGTTCAGTGGTGGTATTCAGAGAGTTCTCTCCCGTTCGGGTGAACTGGTGGCAGCAGCTGCTGTAGGCTCTGGCCACCCGCCCCGATGTAACGTGCGAGCACTGCGCATGCGCAGAAGGCGGTGTGCATGTGCAGATGCGGCTCGTGAACTCACATTTGCGAACCGGTAGGGAACGTAAGTGAATCCCACTGCAGCCCTGCTTTATTCCATCCTAGTCAAACAATTGTCCTGTCTATTTTTGTAAACCTCCAGCAATGGAGCATCCTCAAGTCCCAGAGTCATTAAATAGTTGAAAGTCAAAGACTACGTGTAACTTAAAGCAACAGGTCTCCTAAAACAGGGGTCTTATAGAGCCCTGTCCTGAAACACACCTGGCCCTTCCCAAAACATTATTGGGGCCGATTTCTCAGCCACTCTGTAAACCGCTTAGAGAGGGCTGAAAGCCCTATGAAGCGGTATATAAGTCTAACTGCTATTGCTATTGCTATGTTTTGAAATTAGTCACCACTCAAATAAGATGTGATTACCCAGGGTGTGGCACGAAGGCAACACAGCCAGAGAACTGGTATAAGTCCCTTTATTGGCACCAACCTTGCTCCCAACATCCTGTTTACTTTCCGGGCTGGAGACAATTGCAAGAGCTTCTGGCTGCAGATACTCCAGTCCAAACGCTGTAAGCAGAATGACTGCAATCAATCACTCCAGCAGGGCAAGACAATGAGTCCCAGAAGGAAGAATCATGGCAATAATTCCAGCAAGATAAGATAAGCACACAGAAGGACGGCAATAATTCAAACAGTCAAGAGGAATGCCCGGGAATGCAGGCCACAACTCTCAACACTAGATGAATTCAGTGTTTGTTCCTGACAAACACCCCTCCCAACTGCCTCTCCTTTAAACTCCATCCCCAGGTGTGCCGTGTGAAGGGAATCAGGGGGGCCTTTCCTTCCTCGTAAGCCACACAACCCATGTTGCTCTCTTCTGTTCTTCCCTGCGCGCCCTAGGATGAGGAGGGGATGGCCCTTGGTCTTCGTCTGAACCCCCTCTCCCTTGTTCTACCTCTCCCCTGCTCTGCCCAGCCTGACTTTGTCCTTCCCCACTTTCCTCCACAACCAACGAGTCACTCTCCCGCTCTGTCAGCTGTTCGCCCTCCATCTCAGATTCAGATTCCGACGGGGGGGGGGGGGCATGACATAAGAGATTGGGAAGAGGGATATCATGAGGAGCAGGATTCCAGTCTCTCTGAATCTTAAATAATGACCAAATCTTAAATCTTAAATAATGACCAAAACAGCAGCCACCTGCATTCCATTTATTTCTTTATTTTTGCAAGTTGACAATAATTCTTGGTAAGTATTGCTGGTTGATGTACAGGTCCCCTTTGATGAAAATAAAAAGAAAAGAAAAGCAGAGCCCATCTCCATAAGCGAAGGAGATTTATTTCTGAACCTCTTGGGAGAACAGAATAACAGAGATGGAAGAGACCCTGGAAGTCTGCTAGTCCAGGGATGCCCAACCTTAAGCCTGGAGGACTGGGGAATTCTGGGAGTTGAAGTCCTCCAGGCTTAAGGTTGCCAAAATTGGAGACCCCTGTTCTAGTCCAACCACCTGCTCAGGCAGGAAACCTTACATCATTTCAGACAAATGGATTGCTCAATCTCATCCCCCTTTGCATCTTGAAGCCTCAGCATTGAGAGCTACCAAGCAATCCCTCTTATGACTTAATTGTTGGACTCGATGGTGCTGTTGATCCATGAGACGTAGGGAGCAGTCCGGGTGTAAATCCCAGGTTTCCGCCAATTGCCGCAAACAGTGGAGCCAGTGGTCACGACGCCTTCAGCAATGCCGTTGCAAACAATAGGTCCACCAGAATCGCCCTGCGAAGCAAATCAGGCTCAGTCCCAGTTTTAATATTACTATTGCACGCGCACCGAACCAGCAGTAATGCCGGCAGCAACCCACCTCTGATTAAGCCCTAATAGGAATTGCTCAAAGCCCCTTCATTACCATCACCCAGCAAGATTCAACCAAACCTGGGACTCAAGGCAACCTACAAAGTTACCTCTGCAAGGCCCCATGGGAGCCTGACAACCAATCAGGATACATTTCTTGCCACGGGACTAGGAAGCAAGTTCAAAGGCCAACAGAGGATATAAATCTCTCTTCCTCTCATACCTATGTGCTCACTTTGCCCAGGACCTCAAACCATGTGATCCTGTCCACCATTAAACCATCTTTCCAAGCAGCCTCCATGCTTCCAGTGTCTTTCTCCCCACTTGGAGCTGAACCCAGAAGGACATTTCTTCCAACACTCTGCCTCCAGCTACACGTGTGAATTTTGACTTGGAGCAGTGTTGTTTTTTTTTTAACTTCGGCAACTTTAAGATGCACGGACTTCAACTCCCAGAATTCCCCCAGCCAGCATGTATCTTGAAGACCTGCCTGGGATTCATACAAAATGTTGGAAAGTGGAAGAGGAATTTCCCAGTAGAGGCTAAGTCTCATTGAATGATCTGGAATGTTGCTTCCCAGATTTCTCTTCGCTTGGGCTGTTCATGTGATAATCTGTTCAGTGCAGAGGTGGTATTCAGCCGGTTCTGACCAGTTCTGATGAACCGGTAGTGAAATTTTGAATAGTTCAGAGAACCAGCAAATATCACCTCTGGCTGGCCCCGCCCCATCTATTCTCTGCCTCCCGAGTCCCAATTGATCGGCTGGGTCTTCTTTTGTTGCTCTGAACAGGAGAACGAAGCTGGAAAGCAGGTTAGTGGGGTAGGGAGGGAATGGGGATTTTAAAGTATCCTTCCCCTGCCACGCCCACCAAGACACACCCACCAAGCCATGCCACACACCCACCAAGACACGCCCACCGAACCGGCAGTAAAAAAAAATTGAATCCCACCACTGGTCCACGGCTTCATTCTGTATCGAGAGCCACACTTTCTTCCCTTCCCTCCTCCCACCAGCCCTGTGCTCACCTTGCAGGAGTCTTTCTTTCTGGATTCAGCGCATATCATGTTCTCCGTCACGCTGCCGTCATGGTGTCGCCTCGAATTGCATTGATTTCGATTGATGATTCTGAGATGCACGAACTGCAGCTTGTCCGGCTTCTTTCCCGTATTGCTAATAATGCCCCAGCCAGCCACTTCACATTGAGTGTGTTCAGGGACATCATTGTTTACAGTCTGATACGGCAGGATCTGCACATGTGGCCCAAGGACTGCGGGCTCTGCAAGCTAATTTTGAGAGAACCGGAGAGGAAGGAAGCAGATTGCATCCAGGATATCAGTTCCTTCAGATTAACAGGGTTGGAAGCAGAGGTGGTATTCAGCTGGTTCTGACTGGTTCTGGCGAACCGGTAGTGTAATTACATAACCAATACTTTGATATGAATTACATCTTTTTTTTAACCTTATACTATACTCAGCTTTGGATGACAAATTAAATAATCTTATGCTTGGAATAATGACCTCCTAAATGGCAATTAACATTGAAAAGAACTTTGCTTTTCTCCTTTTATTTCCAACACTATTCAGCTTTTTAAATAATGGAGTTTTAGCTATTTAAAACCATGTTATACCGATTTTATTGCCCTGAAATAGCACAATGTATGATGACGTACAACATTACAACACAAGGAAAACAACAGAAAAAAAGAGAATTATCAATCTGAGGGCGCTTTCTGCAGTTGCTTTTAATCATGTGGGTCCTGTATGTGGAAAATATAGAATTAAAAGGACAGAAATACGTACAGGATGCATCTAAAAACAAGGATTAGGTTCAGTGTATTTATTTATGTGCTCATTTGCAGCAATTACATGGCTGCCTGTCTCATATTTTGAATACCCACCTGGATAAGTAAGAGATCATGGAGAATGGTATCTTGACTACTCCCTGGATGAGGAATGAGTCGACGGACTCCATACAGACGCTTGTTCGGTTCTGTTTCTGAGAGCGAATGGGCTCCCAAAAGGACCTCAAACGTCCCGTTATTCCTGCACCGGAGATTGTGGTTAGTATGAACAACTAGCCCCCCTCTATGTTAACAGGTCTTTATCATGCATCCTTCCCATACAACCCTTTGGAGAATGATGCCTTCTGTCATTTTTAAATCGATCCATGTTTCAAAATAAATGTGGAAATGTCAAGAGTTACAACCACAATGGAATCTGTTCGGCTCTGTTCTTGGTTTGCTTGTGATCCTAAACCTAATAAAATTACTGTCAGAGATGGAAGCCATCTTTTTACATTTGGACCTTCAGGCCTGTCACATTTTTTTTTATGGTGGGAAAATGGGAGAGGGGAGCTTTGGTGGCTGAGGAATCCTGGGAGTTGAAGTCCACAAGTCGTAAAGTTGTCAAGGTTGGAGACCACCAGAGGTGGGTTCCTACCAGTTCGCACCTATTCGGTAGAACCGGTTCGTCAAATCTACCAAACCGGTTAGAAGAGGTTCCACCAGTGGNGACTTACAAGAGCTGTGGTGGCGCAGTGGTTAGAGTACAGTACTGCAGGTTATTTCTGCTGACTGCCAGCTGACTGCAATTTGGCAGATCAAATCTCACCAGGCTCAAGGTTGACTCAGCCTTCCATCCTTCCGAGGTGGGTAAAATGAGGACCCAGATTATTGGGGGCAATAGGCTGACTCTCTAAACTGCTTAGAGAGGGCTGTAAAAACTTTGAAGCAGTATAGAAGTCTAAGTGCTATTGCTATAACCATTCATTTAGTTACCGTTTGAAGTTGCAGTGGCACTGAATAAAGTGTCTTACGACGGTCCTCATCCTTAGGACCTTGGCAGCATCTCCATGGTCATGTGATCAAAATTCAGACGCCTGTCAACCAGCTTGTTTTTATGAGTGCTTCTGGGGGCCTGTGAGGGCGAAAACACGATGCACAGAGGGCTTGAGAGCCCAAAAACGGGCCCGATTTTGGTGAAAATGCGCCGTGCTTCTGGAGGCCAGGGAGGGCGAAAACGCAACACACAAAGGGTTCAGGAGGCCAAAAGCTCCCGCATACAGTCTATAAGACGCACCTAAATTTTCACCAACTTTTAGAGGGGGGGGGGAAGGTGCTTCTTATAGTCCAAAAAATATGGTAATTCTTTCTCTTTAATTTCTGAGTTTTAAGTTCAGTTTCAGAACCATGGTTCCATATAATTCAATTTTTTTAAAAAAATTGATGGACTCTGAACTGTGGCATAATCACACAGGCGGGATGTGCACAAACCATGAAGCTTTTTTGTACATAAGGTTGACGCATTTGTGAGTCAGTGTTTTCAGTAAACACATTATCTCTTTCACTCCTATGCAAAATCTCTGTCAGCCCAAGTGCACTTCAAAACCACCGCTCCTTAGGATCGAAGAGCTTTTATCAGAAAAATGAAAAAATGAATAAAAGGAAGAAAATATGTGTTTGTCACAACCATTCTAATTAGTGCTCATGGAAAGGAAAGAAACATTGCTTCTTCAAATTATTGGTAATTGGTATTTTGAGCAAAAACATCAGAATAGGCTTAAGTAAAAACATCTGTAAATGTTCACGCAGTGGAAATCTCAAAGGTAAATCTAGTGTTAGGCAAAGTTCTTATCCTTTATTTTTATGCCTGGAACTCACGCCAGCTGCAGAGTATCCGTTTTCTTCCATCTAAATCAAATCCCAGCTTCTTTACCCAGGTTCCTAGTCCTCAACCTCACCCAAAGTGTAAAATACATTTTATATTAACACCATCAGCCTAGTGTGATAGTGTTCCTTTAATATTTTGTCTGACTCTATCCACTGAGTTTTGTGATTTAATCAAAACAAATGAACAAAACCATAAATTAATATGATGCAGTTTGTCTATTTATCTGCATATACTCCTCACTCACAACCCCCTCCCAGTTTTACTCCAAGAAAGGTTGATTTGAATGGAAATTTAAACCCTGTATATTCAGGGTATTCTCAACTGTCACACATCACTAGTATTTTGTGTTATTTTCATTCCCCATAGTTCTGTTTCCTGCCTCTCTTCCTCAACTTACTCCAGTACACTTAACTCAGGGAGCCCACAGCTCTCCTGATATTGTTCAACTACGTTTCCCATCATTCTTCACCATTGATTTGCAATTGGCTGGTGCTACTGGATGTTTAGTTGGTGTGTTCTAAATCCATGTAACTCAGCCTTGGCAACTTTAAGATGTGTGGACTTCAACTCCCAGAGTTGAAGCCAGCGTGACTATTTCTGTGAATTCTGGGGATTGAAGTTAAAGTTCAATACTGGGAAAATCCTGGAAAAGACAATCAAGCAATAGCGTGAACATCAAGAAACATGCAAAGATTTGAACAGAAGCTAACTTGGGTTTGTCAAAAACAGATCATGCCAAAAATAGAATGATTGTATTCTTTGACAAAGAATACAATAGTGGATCGGGGAAATACTGTATACATACTTTACTTAGACTTCAGTAAGGCATTTGACAAAGTAGAACGTAGCCTACTTCTTGGTAAGAGAAGTAAGGTAGTGGAATGCACGACCTGATACTGTGGTTTCTTCCTTAACCCCCCAAAACTTTAACCTTAGACTGTCTTCTGTCAACCCCACCCCATTCCTAAGAGGTCTTTAAGGGGCATGCATAAGCGCACCAACGTGCCTACCATCCCTGTCCTAATATTCCCTTTATTCGTATTCATGTATTCATAATCATGTCTATACTTATATCTGTTATCTAATTCATACTTGGCAAATTAAATAAATGTAAATAAATAAAAAAATGATAGGAAAAATGTAAGAACAATTAATCAGTGAAACAGCTTTCCTCCTGAAGTTGTGGGTGTGCAACCTTTGGGGTTTTTTTAAGAAGAGGTTAGACCCTTTTCCTCCTTGCCCCCCTCCCCAACATCTGCTCTGATGGCAATTATGGCTAAAATAAATTCAGGTGCTCAGGCATGAAAAATGTGCCGCTCAAACACTATACTTTTCCGCACATACTGAAAAAAAATTAGAGGGAACATTGCCTAGGAGTCAATCAATTCACACATACACAGACCAAACCTACCAGAGATAACACTAAGAAAGGGTCACATCCAAATTAAAAATCGAATTAATGGTCTGTAAAATAAGGTAAAGGTTGCCCTCGCACATATGTGCCAGATGTTTCTGATTCTAGGGGATGGTGCTCATCTCCGTTTTAAAGCCAAAGAGTCAGCGCTGTCTGAAGACAACTCCGTGGTCATGTGGCTGGCATGACCAAACACTGAAGGCACATGGAATGCTGTTACCTTCCCACCAAAGGTAGTTCCTATTTTTCTACTTGCATTTTTACATACTTTCGAACTGCTAGGTTGGCAGAAGCTGGGACAAGTAATGGGAGCTCACTCCATTACACTGCACTATCCCTACCCCTGGTGCATATTTCATTCCAGCAACCATTCTCTAACACACATGCACACATACAAACACTATCGTCTCTTCTGTCCCTCTTCCTTCCAAGAGGACAAGCATAGGGGAAATACCAGAATGGTTAAAGAGATAATTTTGCATGGTAGATATTTCTTAAAATTGTGCATTTTACGTAGAGTCTTTCCTAACAGATTCCTTTTTCATGTTCCCGTATTGTAATATTTGGAAAGCATTGCATTTTAATAATGTCTAATTTCCAGTTTGGGTATTTGTTTGCAACCTTATGTAAGTTCACATCTAAATGTAAACTAAATGAATTGCATTACCATTTCCAGTTGGAAGTCAGGCCAGCAACCAACCAGGGCTGGAACTGTGGCAAAAGTTTGTCCCAATTTTTAAAGGAAAGAAAAACCTCTCCTACATTTTTATTGTAAAGTGATTTCCTTTTGAGATATAGTAGGTATATATGAAAAAGAGAAAGATTTTTGGATTCCAGAATACTTGGTCGCCCTCTAGTGGAAAATAGAAGCCATTGCTTACCTCTAGAAAACTCCTACATACTGTAATCCTGCTTGACAAACTGGGTTTCATTTACATTCATATAGTCCTCAGCTTATGACCACAATTGGACCTGGAATTTCCATTGTTAAGTCATTGTAGTTGTAAGTCAAGCTGGACCAGAGCTTATAACAATTTATACGGTGGTTGTTAAGTGAATCACATTAAGGAAATCCAGCTTCCTCATTGGGTGATGGGTTTTTTTTTTGCCAGAAATTGGCAAAAAAGGGGTGACAAATCATAATGATGTAACTGGAGGATGCTGCAACAGGTTGTAAATGTGAGCCGGTTGCCAAGGGCCTCAATTGTGATCATGTGACCACAGGGATGGTGCAACTGTCATAAGTGCAAGAACAGTTGTCACTTTTTCCCAAGGCTGTTGTGACTTTGTACCGTGATAGAACATAGAATCATAGAGCTGGAAGAGGTCTTTTAATCCAACCTCCTGCTCAAGACAGGAGACCTTATACCAGGGGTGTCAAACTGGATTTCTTCCAGGGCTGGATCAGCATTGTCATTCTCCTCCACGGGCCGGCTGAGGAGAGGGGGAGAAATGGGACCAATGCCTCCTGCAGCACCTTGCTGGCTGAGAACAGGGTACAGGGTGCCCGTGTGCAGCCCCCCCACACCCTATTTTGGCTGGCAGAGTACTACAGGAGGCCGTCCAGGCCAAAAAAAGGGGGTGCGACAGAGGTGGGTTGCTGCCAGTGTTGTTGCTGGTTTGGCGCACAAAATATTT